CACCATTTATTAAAGAGGCTGTCTTTACTCCACTGTATGCTCTTGCCACCTTTGTCAAATATTAATTGAGCGTATTGCCTTGGGTCCATTTCTGGGTTTTCAGTTCTGTTCCACTGGTCTATATGCCTGTTCTTGTGCCAGTACCAGGCTGTTTTGGTTACCGTCGCTTTGTAGTATAACCTGATATCTGGTATTGTGATCCCACCTACTTTGTTCTTTTTTTTCAAGATTGCTGTGGCTATTCGGGGTCTTTTTTGGTTCCATATGAACTTTTGAAGTATTTGTTCTAGTTCTATGAAATATGTCGTTGGTATTTTGATGGGGATTGCATTGAATCTATAGATTGCTTTGGGTAGTATGGACATTTTAATGATGTTAATTCTTCCAATCCATGAACAGGGTATGTGCTTCCACTTTTTTATATCTTCCTCTATTTCTTTTTTCAATGCCCTGTAGTTTTCTGCAAATAGGTCCTTTACTTCTTTGGTTAAGTTTATTCCTAGGTATCGTAATTTTTTTGGAGTGATGGTAAATGGGATTGTTTTTTCAGTTTCTCTTTCTGTGAGTTCATCATTGATGTACAAGAATGCCGTTGATTTCTTGACGTTAATTTTGTATCCTGCTACTTTTCCAAATTCATTTATTAAGTCTAATAGATTTTTGATGGAGTCTTTAGGGTTTTCTATGTACAATATCATGTCATCTGCAAATAATGACAGTTTCACTTCCTCCTTTCCAATTTGGATCCCTCTTATTTTTTCTTCATGTCTGATTGCTGTGGCTAAGACTTCCAGTACAATGTTAAATAAGAGTGGTGAAAGTGGACATCCCTGTCTTGTTCCTGTTCTTAATGGAAATGTTTTTAGTTTCTGTCCATTGAGTATGATGTTGGCTGTAGGTCTTTCATATATGGCCTTTATTATGTTGAGATATGATCCCTCTATTCCTACATTGCTGAGCGTTTTTATCAGAAATGTATGCTGGACTTTGTCAAATGCTTTTTCAGCATCTATTGATATGATCATGTGGTTTTTATTCTTCATTTTGTTTATGTGGTGTATCACGTTTATTGATTTGCGAATATTGTACCAGCCTTGCATCCCTGGAATGAATCCCACTTGGTTATGGTGAATAATTTTTTTGATGTATTTCTGGATCCGATTTGCTAATATTTTGTTCAGGATTTTGGCGTCTATGTTCATCAGGGATATTGGCCTGTAGTTTTCTTTCTTCGTAGTGTCTTTTTCTGGTTTTGGAATTAGAATTATGCTGGCCTCATAGAACGTGTTTGGAAGTCTTCCTTCTTCTTGAATTTTTTGTAATAGTTTGAGGAGAATGGGTGTTAGTTCTTTTTGAATGTTCGGTAAAACTCCCCGGTGAAATCATCTGGGCCTGGGCTTTTGTTTGCTGGGAGAGTCTTGATTACCTCTTCAATTTCCTTAGTTGTTATTGGTCTGTTCTAGTTTTCTATCTTCCGGGAATAGTTTTGGGAGACTGTGTGTTTCTAGAAATTTGTCCATTTCGCTTAGATTGTCGAATTTGTTGCCATATAGTTGTTCATAGTAGTTGTTAACGATCTTTTGTATTTCCGTGGTGTTGGTTGTTACTTCTCCTCTTTCATTTCTGATTTTGTGTATTTGGGTTCTCCCTCTTTGTTTCTTGGTGAGTCTAGCTAAGGGTCCATCAATCTTGTTTATCTTTTCGTAAAACCAGCTCTTTGTTTCATTGATCCTTTGAATTGTTTTTTTGGTCTCTATGTCATTTATTTCTGCTCTGATCTTTACTATTTCCTTCCTTCTACTTGCCCTGGGGTTTTCTTTTTGTTTGCTTTGTAATTCTTTAAGTTGTGAGGTTAGACAGTCAATTAGAAATTTTTCTTGTTTTTTGAGGTAGGCCTGTAGTGCTATGAACTTCCCTCTCAGAACTGCTTTCGCTGCATCCCATAGATTTGTGTTGTTGTGTGTTCATTTTCATTGGTTTCCAGGAAGTTTTTAATTTCTTCCTTGATCTCCTCGGTGACCCATTCATTGCTTAATAACATGCTATTTAGCCTCCATGTGTTGAAATGTCTTTGCATGTTCTTGTTGCAATTGATTTCTAGTTTCATGCCATTGTGATCTGAGAAGATGCTTGATATGATTTCAATCTTCTTGAACTTGTAGAGATTTAGTTTGTGTCCTATCATGTGGTCTATCTTTGAGAATGTCCCATGTGCACTTGAGAAGAATGTGTATTCTGTAGTTTTGGGGTATAATTCTCTGTAGATATCTATTAAATCCATTTGGTCTAGTGCTTCATTTAGAGTCTCTGTTTCCTTGGTAATTTTTTGCCTAGAGGATCTATCCAGTGCTGTCAACGGGGTGTTGAAGTCCCCTGCTATGATTGTATTGTCGATTTCTCCTTGGAAGTCCTCCAGAAGATTTTTAATATATTTTGGTGCTCCTATATTGGGAGCATATATGTTTATCAAGGTTATATCTTCCTGTTGGATAGATCCTTTCAATATTATGTAGTGGCCGTCTTTGTCTCTAGTTATGGTCTTCATTTTGAAATCTATTTTATCAGATATGAGAATTGCTACACCAGCTTTTTTTTTGCTTTCCATTTGCTTGGAAAATTTTTTTCCATCCCTTCACTTTCAACCTATGTGAGTCTTTTGTTGAGAGGTGGGTCTCTTGTAAACAACATATAGATGAGTCATGCTTTCTTATCCAATCAGCTACTCTGTGTCTTTTTATGGGAGTATTCAGTCCATTTACGTTTAAGGTGATTATTGATATATACTTATTTATTGCCATTTTTGTTTAGTGTGGTTCTATTTTTCTTCCCATTTCTACTGCTAATTACAATAGTCCTTTTAACATTTCTTGCAGTGCTGGTTTGGTGCTAATGTATTCCTTTAGCCTTTTTTTGTCTGGGAAGCTCTTTATTTGATCTTCTATTTTGAATGATAGCCTTGCTGGGTAGAGTAGTCTTGGATTCAGATTCTTGTTTTTCATGACTTTGATTACTTCATGCCATTCTCTTCTGGCCTGTAGTGTTTCTTGTGAGAAGTCAGCTGAGAGCCTTATGGGGTTCCCTTTGTAGGTAACCTGTTGCTTATCTCTTGCTGCTTTTAGGATTCTCTCTTTGTCTTTAATTTGTGGCATTTTAATTACTATGTGTCTTGTTGTGGGCCTGTTTGGGTTCTTCTTACTTGGGGCTCTCTGTGCTTCTTGAACTTGAATGCCTTCTTCCTTCACCAAATTAGAGAAGTTTTCTCTTATTATTTTTTTGAATATATTCTCTATCCCTTGCTCCTTTTCTTCTTCTTCGGGGACTCCTATGATGCGAATATTGTTACGTTTCCAGTTGTCCCATAGTTCTCTTAAGCTGTCTTCCTGTTTTTTAATAGTTTTTTCCTTTTGTTTTTCTGATTCGTTGATTTTTCTACCCTGTCTTCTAATTCACTGATCCGGTCCTCAGCTTCCCCTACTCTGCTTTTTAAACCTTCCAATGAGTTTTTCATTTCTGATATGTCATTTTTTATCTCTTCTTGTTGGTTTTTAATTTCCAATTGGCTTATTTTCAGTGTCTCTATGTCCTTACTCATGGTGTTCAGCTTCCTCAAGATCATGGCTCTGAATTCTAGCTCTGTTAACATGCCCAATTGCTCCACATTGATCTCATCTTCGGTGGAGGTGTCTTGCTCTTTCATTTGGCTTCTGTTTCTGTGTTTCACCATTTTGGCTATCACTGTGGGCTTTGGAGCCTGTCAAGTTCTCCTGGTGTTCTGCTGTTTGTGGCTCCCTCTCCTGTGTTTAGATGAGCGAGGGAGGACCCACGTTGAACACCACTGTCAAGTCTTACTTTCCTGGTTAAAGTTGCCAGCCCAGGAAACGTACTGTTATCCTCTAGCTTTTTGCCTGGAAGCTAGCAGTCTATGTTAATTGATGAGTTTTGGGTTGTCAGTTGATTGAAAAACTCCCTCTGGTGCTCAGCCGAGGGGCTTTCATGAGGGTGGGGCAGATGCTGCTTGTTAGTGAGCCTCAATTAACACTTCAATGGCCCACAGGGTGGGGTTGGATCTCCAAGGGAGGGGCTGCTGCCTCTCCTCAGAGCCCTGGGAAGGAGCAGTGTGGCCACCGACCTGAGTGGCTGCACTCAGCCAAAGCTCTGAGCGCCCTCCAAACCCCGAGTGTCCTGACACAGTTCCAGTCCAGTCTGCCCTCCCTCTGCCGGAGCCCAAGGTGAGTGGCTGTGGCTGTTTCAGGCTCTGTCCCGGCTGCGCTGTGGGGCCACCTGGGAGTGTGACCCGAGGGCGCCGCTTACAGCTAAGGCCGCTGCCGAGCTGCCAACCATGGGCTCCCAGCCCAGTCTCGTGCCTTTGCAAGCCTACCGGGATGGAGTCAGTGTCCCTCGTTGTATGGTCCTCGCAAGCTGCTTTTCTGTTGGTTATTCCCGTCGATTTGTCTGTGTTATAGTTGTAATTCCAGTTTGGTTCTGGGAGACAGTCTGGGTAGCTCCGTTCACTCCGCCGCCATCTCTAAATTTACATTTTTATACAGAAGTTTTTAAGTTAGAGTTTATCATTCAAATAAGATCCTTTTTTGAACTCTGAGAAGGGATGCTCCTTTACAAAGATTCCAGGATTCTGAGTCTATCCCAGTATCTGTTGCTGTCTACATAATTATCTCCCAACTCTACACATGTCATTGCACACACAGAAGAGGTATTTGCTCAGTACCTATGGTAAGATGACAGGGCAACCAGCCAACATGAGGGCAAAGGGAATAAATATCTCACACACAAGTAACACAGTTACCAGACACACTGGTCAGGAAACTACTATGACGAGAGCACACCGTTAATAGTAATGGTTCTATAATCAGCACCATACAAAGCACACTGAGGTGGGAGATAATACTGAAGCAAGGAAAGAAAAGGGGGAATAGGGAGGTAGGAAGGCAGTTAGGCAGAAAAGTCCAACCCAAAGATTCAACTAAGTGTGTTTAACTCACCTATTATAAAGCTTCTCATAAAAGCTTTTATTAGGTAGTGTTATATGAATATTGGGTAACGTAAGTCCCAACACATAGTGAGAATTGCTGATTGCTTTATCCTGAAACTCTGTCATTTCTACAGGGTCTCCTGGCATCACCATCTAAAATATAATAGTTTAGTGCACAAAAATTCATCAAATAACCATCATATGTTTAAAATAGTAGTTGCATCTTCTTACTCTAGACATAGAACCTTATATGTCAGCAATAAGCATGTAACTTTAAACTTTAACGAAGAAAAAAAAATATTATTCAACCCTGGAGTTAAAAACCTAGGGCAAACAGTATATTATTTTTCTTAAAGAAAAAGAATTAAAGCCATTGCTACCCGATGGAGGATAATTCCTTCATGGCTTGCTACCCTTTTATTTTACCTGTTCATTTTCAAACATGACTCTACGAGAAGAAAAGGGAGAGGGGGCTGGTCTTCTCAGATCACACAAGTCCTTCAGGGAATGAGCACCACCCTCCTCTTCTTCCTCGGCTGCTATTCTCTCCAAAATGGAATGCAGAGCTGGTGGATTTATTTTCAGTACAATTCTGAGAGCAAAGAAAATTTTAAAAATCAAGATCGATGTATAAACTGCAAAACTTTAACTTTTATGCAAATTAATACAAAGACCACTGATTGAAACATTAATGGTGGGATTTAGCTTCTCTACAAACTCTAATTATATCTAATCCACCCATTTCTGAGTTGTAAACTTAAAAGTGTGGAATTGATGAAACAAGTAAATAAAAGGCATTAACATGTTATGCTTAGCTAACTGAAATTCTGACCTTTTGAGGATACAAAGATTATTTTTAAATTTCACTAAGAATTCTATTTATTCTAGCCGCAATCCTTCCACATGCAGTCTGTTCTGCTATTACAGAATATCTACATACCCAGGACACCATGTGTTATAAAAAATGTTCAAATGGAAAAGGGGAGAATTGATTAGGGAATATTTTCAGAATTGTAACAACAAAGTCATCTTTTCCTTTAGGAATTTGAATAAAAGGCTTGTGTTCATCCTCTGCTGGACATCACTAGCAGAAGGTTGTGTGGTCTCTTCTTTATCACTACATCAGCCCATTGTCATGATGAGGCATGCACCCCCAAATAAGACAGACATGTGTTGCATCTAGAATGTTTTTTTCTTCTTTACTAAGTAGGTGGTATCAGTTGGTTCTAGTTGTAAACTATCACAACTGCTTCCTAATTAGGGATCAAACCTGCAACCCAGGTACATGCCCTTGACTGGAAATTGAACCCGAGACTCTTCGAGCCTCAGGTTGATGCTCTAACCACTGAGAAAAACCGACCAAGGCACCTGGTGTAACTTTTAAGCTATACTGATGCCCAAACTATATCCAAGAATCCAGGGTAGGGCCTAAGAACCAGTATTTTAGCAAATCTCCCCAGATTTGAAAAACACTGTCCCAAAGCATCAGTGACTATAAAATTCATTTGACAACTAATCAAACGGTGACATGACATCTCTTCTACTGCAACCCTGAACTATTTTTATTATTTTTTTAGTGTCTTTATTGATTTTTTAGAGAGAAAGGAGAAATAGAAACATCAATGTGACAGAGAAACATCGATCAGCTGCCTCTTACATGCCCCCTCCACTGGGGATCAAGCCCGAAACCTGGGCACGTGCCCTGACCAGGAATCCAACCGGGACACCTCAGTCCATGAGACAACACTCAATCCACTAAGCCACAGCAGTCGGGCTTGAACTATTTTTAAAATAGTGATTCTTTGGTCCCTCCACTTAGACTAGGTAACTTGAGACCAGAGAACACATCTTATGCTTCCATCTCTCATAGCACCTAACAGACACCTTTCATAGAGCAATATTCAAAATACATTTTTTATTTCATTTGTTCATCTTCCTCTGGGTTCTCTCATCAATGCTGGATATTTTTACCTTAAATTTAGTAGCCAAAATGACCATTAAAAAGAGTATAGTAATTTATTTTTTAAAGGAAAATCTCATTAAATGTATGTATCATATCCATCTGCTTACTCACCGTGGCCAGTCAAAGTCATCTGATGATGTTGTATCTCCATCTACTTCACTACACACGTGGAGAAATTGAATAGATGGCTCTCCCTTATCTTCTTGGAATGACCCTGATAAAATAAGACTGATTAACCAAAATGTATTTCTTCTCAAGGGCTAAAAGGTACTTTCCTCATTAGGAGAGCCAAGGTCCTCTAAATCAGGAACATAATGCAACATTAAGTTCTACAGCATTTATGCATTTGTTCCTGTTTCTTGTGTACATGTGGGGACACAATGTGCAGATAATCTAATGATACTGTTTTCTGTTCAAACTCAAAATTTTAAGTACCAGTGTTTAATGTATAGTAAATACAGCAGGTACCACTTACTGAGTGCCACTCAGTGATTTTTCTTCATAAAACTTTATGCAGTTAATCTAGGGACACAGAGATAATAACTACATCTTAAATGTAGATTTTGTATCAAGCACTGTAAGAATTACCTCTATTCACAACAGCCTATATATGTCTATTCTCTGCATTTTACAAAGAATGACTTCCCTCCAGAATAATGAGAGAGAAGATTAGATAACCCCTAAAAGCCCTTTCATCAAGTCACAGTTGGCAACAATTTTAAATATCTCTAGGAATGTGTAAAAACTCAGAGAGAAAAAGGGAGGGAACTTTGCAGCCTATTCCCGAGCAGGAGGCGAGCAGAGGGTGGGTGTGGTTAGAAGGGGCAGATGCAGAGGGGAGGTGCAGTGGCAGAGGCAGGTTGTTAAGAAATTAAAAATTTTTTTTAAAACATCAAAACCTTCCCGAGTTCTTCACAGACTCAATTCACTCTAAGTGTATATGCTGACAAAAACAAAGTAATGCATAAAAACATAAAACAAAGAAAAGTCATTAGAAATTAGTATGACGGTAAAAAGCTCAAGCTCTAGTGTCAGACTTGGGTCTGAATCTAGATTCTGCCACCTACTGCTACATGACCTTCTGCTTAAGTCTATAGATTCCTCACTTACAAATGACAAGAATGACTGAAAGTGACGAGCCTCCATAAGCATGATGATTAAAGAAAACGAGAGCGTGTGTGAAGCGCTCAGTGCCATGGCTAGCACAGAGTGGCTGGCACTCGAGCTCTGGCCACCAGCAGCCCTCCAAGAAAGCGGAACGCGTGGCTGGTGGTGAAATGCAGACAACTGCACCACACTCCCCTGGAGAGAAGAAGTACTGTAACGAGGGGAATAACTCATCATGCTTAGAAATTTCTTTCCAAGAACTGACTTCTATTATATATTTGTATACAATACTGGTAATAATGTTCTTTAATTTTATATTTTGCAGCTGTCACAGACATTTTCTCAGGCTATAAGTTTCAGCAGCAGTTGTTTGGTGAGAGTCTGACTCCTTTACAGGAATGTTCAATCTTACCAACTAGTTCTCTAGGTAAGTTCCAGTTTAACTTGTTCTGGGGTTGATCCTCCTATGAATTCAGTCTTAAATTCTAGATCTGTGAATGCTAAATGAAGAATCTCCTTCTGAAGTGACTTTTTAAACCATGGTCCTCTTTCTTGATCTGATCGAAGATCAGGGATTGGGAAGCGAACAGAAAGGTTTAATGCTGGTGTGGCAACTTGTACTGATATCCGACAATTTGCAGGATTATGTGAGTCATCTAGAAATACTTCAGTGAAAGCCTTGTGCTAAAACAAAAAATTTTTTTTTAAAACAAGACAAATGTTAAATTAAATAAACATAAATGACATTAGTACTCAAGTCAACATTACAATATGTATAGTCACTATTTCCTCATTTAATATAGTACATTAAAATATAATTCAAAATAACCACTACCACATTAGTTTAGTGTAGTGAAATTTTATAATCAGATTGCTACAGACAAAAGCCAGAACTATTGGCCAAAGGCAAACCCACATTAAATAAATAAATAAATAAATAAATAATAAGCAAGCTGAACCAAAGTGAAGACATAGGCATATATATTTTACCACAGATTTAAAAAAAAAACATGTAAATTAGCTATCAACAAATTCAACAGTTAATAGCACCCAATATTCAATATGAAGTATTTATCCACAAATACGCTACTTAAAAGACTCAATATGAATGTGAAATCAGATTAATTAAGCCAAATGCAAAGGACCATCCCTGAGTCATCTTTGTATTTCCTGGACTAAACCCAGACCCTAGCACACCATGGGTTCTTAAATAAATATTCACTAAATGACTCACTCTGAGTTCCCATACAACCGAAGGGTACGATCCCATGGAATGGCTCTTAGAAACCAAATATATATGTACCATTTACTCAAAGGCATGTTACAATAAAAAGTTCAAAGGACATGTCCTTCTGATAAAAGGCTATTTCTATTTTTCTTCTAAAATGTATTAAAACATAAAGCTTTAGTCCAGGGTATACCATCATGAATCAGTCTCTAACCTCCCAGATTAGAAAACTCCCTTTTATGCTAGGCTTGGATTTTTAACAAAACTATTCTTTCTCTCTCCTATTTGACTTTCCAGTACTAACTCTTACTTCAGCCCAAGAGATTAAACCACCATCCCAAAACATCTATGGCTAACAGCAAATTTAGACATTAGCGCCACAGAACTTAAAATAACAAGCAACTGGTGACAAAAAATAAAGAATGCTGATTCAATGTGAATATCATCACTAATTGAGGAAGAAACAAATAAAGTATAAAAATAAAATATCTTTTCCCCTTTCTTTTCAACCAAAGTTATCTTGGGTCTGGTTCTACAGCCCCCAACTTCCTAACAGACTTCTTTCAAATCTGACTTATTTAATTTGCTTAGAAAAGAAACCAGACACCAGGTCTAAGTGCAAGTGACATAATGTGATGCTCAATAACATAATATCATTAATATGTTTCCATTTTCAAAAGTATATCTTATATGGGCTGCATTTTATAGGTGGCTCAAATATTTTGTAAAATGTGTGAATAGCTAAAATTTTGTGAAGATAGAATCAGTTTGTAAAACTCAGATAACACAGAAAAGGAAAGGAAATCTAATTCTATTACTCTAAGATAATCAATGCTACCAACTGACCTATTTCTACTCATTCTTTCTCTATACATTGAGTTCATTCACACAGTTATAGTGGAAGTTTACTTCTTCATGCTCATGTTGCTGTACCATCTTCATAATCATTAACGTGGGTGTAGAGAGTTTCAGTATATTAGCAAAATTGATTTAGCTATCTAGTACCTTGACATAAAATATGTCTCCGTTTTTTCATTATTACCAATAATGCTGTTTTAATAGTATATACTATTTAATTTATTAAGAATAATTAGGCTCAGAAATAATCCAAATAAGCCTATTAGGTAGAAATAATTCTGATTCATATTTGCAACTTTTGAATACTTACTAAACTAATATGCTTATTATATGAAGTATACATGTGAGATGCCATCATCTCTACTGTAGTAAGTTTCTGTGGTTGAAGCAATGAATTTAACCTGTCCACAATGCTGATATCCAGCTCACAAAATACTGGATTTAATTTAATTTGTAATTCTGTCTTCTGAGGAACAGAACTAAGTCTTGTTTGATTACCCTTTAAAAAAAAAAAAAAAGAAAAGCATTAATATAATCACTAACAATAGTATAAAACTATGCTAAAACCTTCCATTTGTGACAAAATATGTATCAAATAGAAATTTACAGGTGGTGCCCTGGCCGGTTTGGCTCAGCAGTTGGAGCACTGGCCAGGGACAGAAGGATTATGGGTTTAATTCCAGTCAAGGGCACATGCCTGGGTTGCAGGTTCAATCCCTAGCCCTAGTCAGAGTCATGTACGAGGCAACCAATCTATGTGTCTCTCATATCCATGTTTCTTTCTCTTTTTCTCTCTCTCCCTCCCTACTTCCATTCCACTCTCTCTAAAAATCAATAGAAAAATATCCTTGGGTGAGGATTAACAACAAAACAACAAATTTACAGGTGGTAATCAGAAAAAGATGTCTTACCTGGGGTCCTTTATTCTCAGAATGCTTATAATGAAGCTGAAGACATACAGGGGGGTGAGAATCAGTCCATTCTTTGGAATGAAATGTTAAAAGCTTAAAAACAAAGATGAAAATAAATTAAAAGTAAGATTTTAAGCTATAATTAATCACATGAATTAACAGAGGTGCTAACATAATATTGGGAATAATTTTCTGGAGTCAGAAAACCTTGCTTTAAGTTTTCATTGTTACTTACTATCAATATAAATCTTAGACAAGTTAGTTAACTTCTGTGATACTTAGTATCTCATCTAAAAATGTAGGGAAGTATTCAAGTAAATAAATGCCCAAGAAAGTGCTTTGAAATAAAAAAAATATATGAGAGCAAAGTAAGAGCAACTAATGTCACTTTGATAGCTTTGAAAAGTGTCCCTAAGCCCTGGCCAGTTTGGCTCAGCGGTTAGAGCGTCAGCCTGTGGTCTGGAGAGACCCGGGTTTGGTTCCTGCTAAGGGCACGTACTTTGGTTGCAGTTTGTCCCCGGCCCTGGTTGGGTCGTGCGTGTGGCAGCCACTCGATGTGTCCCTTCACGTCGATGTTTCTCTCTCTCTCTCCCTTCCTCTCTCTCCCTCCCACTCTATCTGTACAAAAAATGGAAAAATATCCTCGGGTGAGGATAAAAAAAAAAAAAAAAAGAAAAGTGTCCCTAAGACACAATATTAGGACTATGTGACTATTAGGGTAGAAATAAAAACAGATTAATAATAAAAGAACACAAGACACTTCATTTGTCTTCAACAGTGCTTAGCACATAGCAGTTATTTGTTGATTAACAGAAGTCTTCTTAAATAAAGAGTGCATAGAAAATGAGTAAAATGAAGTCATTTGTCCCCATAACCTATCTGCCACTCTAAAACAAGTCAACTCTAAATTAAAATTTGTAACAGACTGTTATAAACTTGAATGCCATACTTAAAATTTTGTTTCAACAAAACACAATGAACACACACACACACACACACACACACACACACACCTCTTCCTATATGACTTCCTATCCCCTTTTTTTAAGAAAATCATTGCTGTTCATACAAGTCTTAAAAAGCAAGACGGATTTAAAGAATAATCTAAAGTTAAGGTATTTAGCATTTACCTCGGTATAGTGAGGAGAAACAGAATGAAAATCAGTCGGAAACAGGCACTCCAAAAGTTCCATTTGACCAATGGACATATCAGTACTAAAATATCTGGAAGCTGATCTTTGTCTTTGTTCATAGGATACTTTGATGCCAGTACCTATAAATCTATCAAAAGACATGCAGTATTTAAGAGTATCCATTTAGTTCCAGGTTGAACAATGTGTCAAATAGTGCACAAATGTTATTAAAGTATAACAATTACCTACCTATTCTGACAAATTCAAGTTGTAACTAATATTCCTAAGGATATTAACCAGAAAGATTATTTAAAATTTCCCTGACATAAGATAAAGAAACCGGTTCTGTTGATAGGAAATTATTCCAGGATATATTTATTTCCCAACACTGCCCTTCCTTCTTCCACTTTTTAAAATGTATACTGCAGTGCATAAAATGTTTAAAATCCATAAAACATACATATGTAACAGTTTCTTAAAATTATCTAAAAGCATCATGAAATATTTTTAAAATTTCAATGGAGCTCAAATGAAGATATTCCTCTAGTTTTTATTGCTTTTGTTATATTTCCTATTGACAGACACTTGGAATCTTGTCAAAAACGGAAAGAAAACAATGTTTTATGGCCTGGCCGATGTGGCTCAGTGGCTGAGCATTGACCCATGCACCAACAGGTTGCCAGTTCAATTCCCAGTCAGGGCACATGCCCAGGTTGTGGGCCTGATCCCCAGTGGGGGGCATGCAGGAGGTGGCCAATCGATGTTCTCTCTCATCAATGTTTCTATCTCTCTCTCTAAAATCAATAAAGAAAAAAAATTTTTTAAATGTTTTTTTGTAGTTTAATTACAAATAAATACTACGGTTCCAACCTGCAGAATTTCTTTTGCCAAGTATAAAGAATTAATTTGCATATTAATTTAATACTTCAAAAAAGTTAAAATAAAATCCCAAAACATTTTCTAAATATACTAATATACTGTATAAATTATTGTATAAAAAAACACGACTCCACAATTTACAGGTCACTTTCATGTTAAAATAAATAGCATGTGCGCATTAACAATATTATACTCACTAATTTAATTATCTCATCTTTTAGAACTCAACCCATGAATAGATCATTGGCTATTTGGACAGCTTTGATTTCTTAAGCAGAAGGTGAAAATGTAGCATTTAAGCTCGATCAGCCTTGGTATCATTTCCTCATGGCCAGTGGCATACAGGTCATTTCCAAGTTCCTTCTAATAAGTTCATCCTACTCTTCCCACCACTGCCATCTCTGCTAAGCCAGTACCAACAACAACTATTTTTACGATTGTAATGGTGTCAAAATTGGTCAAAGAAATTTGACAAGAGCAGGGCAGGGAGCTAAAGAAAAGATAATCTCAAAAAAGGAGAAACATCTGTAACAAAAATAAATTAATTAATTAATTTAAAAAATAATAAAGCAGGGGGAAAAAAGAAAGAAAAGATAATCTCCAAAATCCAGATTATCTGGAGTTTATATCTAAATGTTTCACATGCCAAATGACCTGAATGAAAGATTCTATGGTAAATATATTTGTAGCACTGGAAGAAAGCCTCACTCGTTCCACTTATTTACAAATAAAATCTGAATTAGAAAAATAAATGGAGTTAGGTAGATAGAAAAAACACAAAAGTCCACTTTTGATTCTTTTTCAAGGATCGTTAATAAATATGAGAGCATTTACCTAAGGTGATCATGTGAGCAAGCTTCTGCAAATACTGTTCGAAAAGACTTAAAATCATCTGCTGAAAATCTTGCTGGATCAATCTTTTCTATGCAAGAAAAGAAAGCTATTGCCAGAGGTGTCAATGGATTAACGTTCAATGATGTTTCAGGTGGTGATAATGGATCAATGTGAAGCACAGAGATTGAAAAAGTTCCCACAGCTAGTCTAAAAATAAGCTCGGGCCTGGATTCATCCACTGAAACAGGTCTAGATGGGAGAGCTGAAATACATGTTAAAATTATATATAAAAACAATCCATTGTATCCAAAATATAAAACATTTACTCATATATTCGTTTTCAAAAACAGGTGACCATACAATAGTTTGAATGATATTAAACAAGTCAAATAAAATAAACTGTTATCTTTCTGCATTTTATTGCTAGGATCCCTGGTACTTAAAGTACAAGCATATGCTGCAATAGGAAACATAGGAGCAAAGCTTTGCATTAATAAAACTGTATTGGGAAAGTCAAATATTAACCCAAGCTGCTCACCAAATTTTCCTCTAAGTCTATGTCTATTCCAATCAAATTTTGCAGGGAAGAAATCTGAGGTTCTCTTTCAAGGAAAGTATAAAGAGTGAAACTAAAATCAGATGATTGATTGAGATACTTAAACTGCAACAATAATATGAAACTTACGATGTACTTTTTACTAAAAATATTTAAGTATTTAAATACTCAAAAAATACAGTGAATGCACAACTATACTAAAATACTTCACAGTGAATTGTTCAAAAGTGCTTCATTTTCTTTCTAAACTTTGTAAATGGCCTATTCCCCCCCACCCAAAAAACTGAAGAAAAAACAGAACAGCATTTTTTTTATTTTTAAATTTTTAAAATTTCAGGTGAAACCATCAACAAATGTCTTATTTTCACTTACAAGTCTTCTGTAAAGGTGATGGGTGAACTACGTTAGATGGCAATGTTGACCCTCTTACAGGCTGTTCTTTATGATGATCAAGAAAATCTCCCCATGTTGGCTGAAGCTATAAAATAATTTTTTAAAGAGCAAATGAATACAGTAATAAATTTAGAAGCAAGTTTTCAAGAATAAAACAAAAATTAAATAATACTTTACCACAGTGACACTTAATGGAGATCTTGCTGGAGTATTTGTATATGTGCTAGTTAATGATAACTCAAGGTCCATATGTGGGGGGTCTCCAAGGGGTGGAAGAGAAGAGAGACTATGGGACATGTCCATATCAGCCATGGAGAAGAACACTTCTTCTTCTAGAGAGAATTAAGATTTGTCAATTGTATTATAATTCCAAAAATCTACATAATTAAATAAATATACATTAATATAATATTCGTCCTTCAGATTACCTGAGCTACAGTGATACCCTAAATTTTATGTTATTTCCAGTGGAGTAACTTATTTGGATCTAAGACATAAATGGCACAGTAAAAACTCAACTAATCCCTGGTTGGTTTGGCTCAGCGCTTAGAGCGTTGGCCCAAGGACCAAAGGGTCTTGGGTTCGATTCCCAGTCAAGGGCACGTACATGGGTTGCAGGTTCAATTCCCTGCCCTAGTCAGGGTTGTGCAGGAGGCAACCAATTGATGTATCTCTCTAATATCAATGTTTTTCTCTCTCCCTCTCTCCCTCCCTTCCACTCTATCTAAAAAAAAAAAACAAACAAACTCAACTGAACATAGGTTAACAAAAGTTTATGCTATCTTGGTGGTGAATTTATTTTTTTTAATATATAATATGTAGTATTACCTTTTTTTTTTTAATCCTCACCTGAGGATATTTTTCTATTTATCTTCAGATAGCGTGGGAGGGAGAGAGATGGAGAGAGAGGAAGAGAGAAAGAGAAACATCTACGTGAGATGGACACATCAACTGGTTGCCTCCGGCACAACCCTGACCAGAGCCGGGGACGAACTGCAACCAAGGTACATGCCCTTGGCCAGAATCAAACCCACGACACATTGATCCGCAGGCCAATGCTCACAACTGCTGAGCCAAACTGGCCAGGGCTTACCTTACTTTATATTTTTAAGTGTCACGTTATAATTTAGAAGTTAAAATCCAGATTTTAAAATTTTATGTGTTTGTGTGTGTGTGTATGTGTGTATCTTGCAACCTCTGGTTTCAAATGAATACTGCTACTTCTTTGAAAGAAAGAATGAGCCCAGCCGGTGTGGCTCAGTGGACTGAGCATCGTCCCATGAACTGAGAGGTCCCAGTTCAATTCCGGATCAGCGCACATGCCCAGATTGCAGGCTTGATCCCCAGTAGGGGTGTGCAGGAGGCAGCTATTCAATGTTTCTCTCCTACATCGATGTTTTTATCTCTCTAAAAAATAAATCAATAGAAACATACATTTTTTAAAATCATGAAATAAAAAAAGAACTGCATGTATTATTTTGAATTCTATTTACATTGCACTTCTTTCTTTCTGGAAATTTTTTGCCCTTATGAAAATAAAGTTTGTTATGGTCAAAATTACTTAAGTTGATTTTAAGTTTCTATTTAGTTAAACATTCCATATTTAAATTGATTCTTATTATTTAGGGTATTAGTACTCATACATGCTAAAACACCTCAAAGTGCAAAGTAAACTGGATAAAGATTATATTTACATATAATAAATAGATTAACAAAGAAAGGGTCCTATTTAAAGGAATCTATAAATCATTATGTGAGCAACATAAGAATTTGACAAAATGAAGAATTACCCCCATTTAGCTCTTGTGTAAATCTACATTTTTGTAAATGGACTTTCCTTAGAATAAACCATGATTTATATAAACTACACAATCAAAAAAGGATACTGTAGCACATCACTGTAATGCTGTGGTTAGAAATTTAAGCTTAGAAATGTAAACCTTCTTACAGTATGGAGTTTTTGTTCTTTAACCCCATTTACAGTGACCAAAATTAAGTTCACTTTGCTCTATGATGATAACATACAATTCTAGTGTCAACTTTTTGAGTTGCTTACCACGGCTAGAAGGTGTACGAGCCGTTTCTGTCTCATAAAAGCTTTGCTCTGAAGATACACCCACAGAGAGGGAATCTTTTCTCAAATAATACCGGTTTAATTCCATCTGAATGCGATATTCTTCTTCCTGTTGCATGGGTCGATTTTTTTCTATCTTTATTAGCTAACCCTATTTTGCTAGAATTTTCTACAGGTATGCAAAAGGAAAGCAAAACAGTAATTAAATTTGGAGCTACTTAATCATTTCTCTCCCAAAACCCACTTATCCAATACCAACGGCAATATTTCTATGAACTGACTTTCCTAAGGTAAAATTATGATTTATAAAACAAACTACACAATCAAAAAGCGACACAGTAGCCCTGGCCAGTTTGGCTCAGCAGTTAGAAAGTCGGCCTGCTGTCCAGAGAGACCCGGGTTCGGTTCCCGCTGGGGGCATATGCCTCGGTTGCAGTTTGTCCCCGGCCCTGGTTGGTCGAAAGGGTGGCAGCCACTCGATGTGTCCCTTTCACATCAATGTTTCTCTCTCTCTCTCTCTTCCTCTCTCTCCCTCCCACTCTATATGAACAAAAAAATGGAAAAGTATCCTCGGGTGAGGATAAAAAAAAAGTGTGTGCCCGTGCTGTGGTTATCACTGCAATGCTGTAATTAGATTAACTTAGAAAGGTATCCCTTCTTAGAGGATCTTTCGTTCTTTCATTACTAACTCCCTTTCCCAGCAGCCTTAATACCACAGCAACTTAACAGCACTGCCAGTGCAAAACCATATCTGTTTAATATGAGTCAGAAATATAAACAATAACTTCAAGCATATTGCTAAAAATCACAAAAATCTTATCTTTGACACATAAGTCATTAAAAATGTGTGCTACTTACTATGTTAAGGAATTATACTTTCTAAGTTGTATGAAATACTATCCCCAACCAAGGAAGTAAACCAGACAATTTTGAAAAAGTTAAGATGGTGACATAAATAATCTGAATGCTAATTTCTGCTATGGTAACACAATTTATAAGATCCAATCAGTCTTGGCCAGGTGACTCAGTTGGCTGGAATGTCATTCCAAACACCAAAAGGTTGCAGGTTCGGTTCCTGGTCAAAGTACATACCTACATTGAGGGTTCGATCCCTGTTGGGGCACATAGGGGAGGCAACCCAACCAATCAATGGTTCTCTCTCTATAATCAATAAAAACATATCCTCCAATAAGGATTAAAATAATAACTAAATAAATAATTCAATCAAATTTAGCTACTTAGGATTCTTATTTACAGTACATCTTTAATTTCACACATTCTTCTGTAAGAGAATGTCCTATATGTGTGTTGTGTATTTTAACTAATAAGTGTTAAATATGTTTTTATTTTTTTAGAGAGAGGAAGGGAGAGAGAGAGAGGTAGATAGAAACATTGATGTGAAAGAGAAACATCAATCGGCTGCCTCCTACATGCTCCCTTACTGGGGATTGAGCAGCAACCTGGGCATGTGCCCTGACCAGGAATTGAACTGGAACCTCAGTTCATGGGACAACACTGAATCCACTGAGCCACACCAGCTAGACTTAACTAAAAAGTTTTAAATAATTAAAAATAATAACAACAGAGTTATACTTGCCTGGTCCAGCAATAGCTGCTAACATATCCAAAAGCAAGTGTACCTGTCTTGGGGACAGGAATAGAGGAATAGAGTCTATCTGTCCATCAATATCCAACTTCAAAAAATAAAAGAAAAAGAAAAACATTCAGGATAATACTCTGTATAATCTCATCACCACAAGTCCCAGTATATTTTAATACACTGAGGTGAATACTGATTATTTCAGTCTTGGATTCTTTCACCTAAGATTTTCTCTACTAATTCACACTATCTAAATCATAAGACCAAAACTGTTATAAGAGGGAAAATCCTCCTGAGAAAGGTCATGTTGACAAGTTCAATGTCATAGTTTTTGTCTAAGTTTTCTGAGTATTTAAGGTATTTGAGGAGGCCTTATGACATAGTCTCCAAGAAAGAATATTAAGATAGCAGTAGTAGAATCTTTATTCCCACCATAATTTCAAAAGACTTAAATCATAATCCTTAAAGCTTATTTTAAACCAAGAGAAAATAAAGTTGGCTTTCCTAGTTTGCCCATGGATAACACTCCTGAGCAGAACACATAAGGACATTTTCTACCAATGGTGTGCTCTCGAAATGCCCACTGTGTTCCACAGAGCCCGTTCTCGGCTGGGCACGGGAGTGTGAGCCACATCAAAAATGCCAGTGGAAGAACAACGCTCATGTGGCCTTCTCTTTTTCAACTCTTTGTCCATTTTTTCTTCTAGAAATAAAAGCCCCACCCCACTCTCATCCTGATTTCTATGAAGTATATCTGAAAAAACAAAAAACAATCACTCTGCTCTGTATATCACATTCTAAAGAGTTGAATATGCCTGCCTTACTTTTCATTCACCTTTTTTTAGTTCTAATGCTAACACTGACTCCTACTGCAATTTAAAAATAACTCAGTTAATAAAATATTTATTTTTGGAAAATGACATCTTCCCAAAGAGAAAAACAAATTTCTTCTGTTCTAGAAATAAAAATTAAAGAAATTACACCATGATTTTGAGAGATGCCCATGATCTGACCAAGAATTCTCCAGTCATCACCATCATCCTCCTCTCCTTTTTAGAGGATCAGAGCACTACACTAGGCATTCTCAAGGTATTTCCTCTCATGCTCAGTGCTGCTGCTGCTTTACAGGTGAGGAAACAGGTCACAGAGACTGAGTGATTTATACAAGGCTATCTAACAGATCCAGAGCCAGGATTTTAGCCCATGCTGACCAAGATGGAAAGTCCCCATTCCTTCCATTCTGTCCACAGAGGTATGGATGAAAAAAGGGTTCTACAGAAAGTGAATTCACAGGGTGAACTGATCATAAATTCCTAACTAGGCAGGTCATGGGGCAGTCACAGTTAGCCATGTAACTTCTTTACTGAGAGCACATAACCTTAACTATTCTGTAATACAATGCCCACCTTGCTTTCTCCCACCTTCCTTTCTCCCACCTTCATATAATCCTCCTTAGTTCCCTCAATTTCAAATGCATAAAAGAAAACAACAAAACTGTCATTCTCAAAAGCAGGAGACACCTTCCTTCCTGGAAACTGTTGTCAGTTTCTCAAATAACAACAACTGTTGTCTCAAATAAACTCATATAAAAATTCTATACAGGTCTGGATGTTTCTTATGTAAATACAGGACTTGTTTTATGGGGCTCCTTACTGACTGCTGACATTGCAGGCCATAAATCAGCAAGGAGTTAGGACTGGGGACACTGGGGAAAACTCCCTTTCTGATTATATGCCAACATTTTTTAAATTGTTTTTTAATTTCTTAGTATTGAAAACATTACATCTATAGAATATAACACTAAAATAAATTTCAAACTCCATGTAACACAGTAACTGAAACAAAATGTCTGTAAGTTCAATACAGGCAGTCCCCTATTTTCGATATAATGCACTCCTGAAAATATATGCTAAAACTGAGTATGTGAAACACCAGACTTTACACACTATTTGAGGTAGATACCAGTCTCAGAGAACTAAAAAACACACATAAACTCTTTCACAACATTCTGAACCCAGTTTGAAGATTTAAGTCTAATGAACATCAGAAAGAGACTGAAGATACACCACTTTGAGCACCCTAATTAATGCCATCTTGATCTATATTGTATTAAGTTCATGAGATATATATTTCTCAATGCTAATATCTAGAACTTTTATTTTTCCATTTAGTACTCACTTTCATTAAATAAGAACAAAATATACTCAAATACTCAGTTACTACACAAAAACTAACCTAAAGGCAAGGACAGTAGTATCTCCAAATATTAAACACTGGCTGGCAGACAGCGCCACCATGCAAGAGTTCCTGACGTTCTTTTCTCACCTAATACACAGATATCCAAAAGTAACATATAAAAGGCATTTATACAAATCAGTACATAATGTGTAAAAGTTTGGGTTAGCACCAATATCAAATATATCAATGCTGAGGACTATCTGTAATTACTCAAAACAGAACCATCAAGTTATTGCTATGGTTCTTCCTTCTTGGAGAAAGAGCAAACGCAGCCCCAGTGGCACGGGTGTATTTGTTTCCCAGGGATGTTACCAGGCAGGAAGAGTTTTTGCAGTGTTTCCACGTACCTATGGTTTTCTGCTGCATTAACACTCCCCTCCTGTTATTTAATAAAGAGGCTTAAGACCTGGTAAAAAGATTTCATACCATCTGAGGTAGGACAGAGCAGTAAACAAAGGGGCAAGGGGACAAGCAATAATAGGAATGCTGTCATTCTAATCACCACCTTCCTCCCTCCTCCAATTCCAGTAAGTTGTTCCAATCCAAGAAAGAACTCCTGGCTCCGTCTTCCATGTTCCCACAGCAATTTCTATCCCCCACAGTACATATTTTATTAAAAGGCAAAGACTGAATTCCATTCATCTCTGCATCTATCTCAAGAACTTGCCAGCCTGTCACACAGTAGTCACGCAAACACCTAGAGCTAGGTGGGCCAGTGAACACATCTTCTCAATTGAAACCACATTTTATAGAAATTATACAGAAAATTTGTTTCCAAAGTCTGAAAATAAAATTTGACAAATACATGTTTAACCATGTATGTTTCCTGGTTCTCCAACAGACTGTTCAATATTGTTCCCTAAGAAACAAGTACAGTTGTCTTTACAGAGTCTTCAAAAACCTATAAGACATCATGAAAAAAATTAATTTCTTTTCACAAGTATTATACAACTATAAAAACAGTCATTCAGCCCTGGCCGGTTTTGCTCAGTGGTTAGAGCATCAGCCTGCCAATCGAAGGGTCATGGGTTCAATTCTGGTCAAGGGCACTTACCTGGGTTGCAGATTCGATCCCCAGCCCCGGTCGGGGTCATGCAGGAGGCAACCAATCAGTGTCTCTCTCTCCTGTCAATGTTTTTTTTCTTTCTCTCTTTCTCCCTCCCTTCCCCTTCCTCCCTTCCACTCTCTCTAAAAAACAATGAAAATAATAATAATAGTAATAATAATAATAATAATAATAATATGTTTAAAGCGGTCATTAGGTTAAAAATACACATAAGGTGGATATTCTTACATATAATTAAACAACTTCAATCAACTTGCTTTCCAAATCTCTCCTCCTTTAAACTTTATTTTGTGATGCTAGAAAGATATTCTTTAATAGTACATTCCTAATTATCTGACCTAATTAATGTTTTGGAGCTATGAGAGTCGGGGAAAGTGAGTGTAGGCAGCAACTCTAAAACCAGAGCTACAGAAGGGCACAGGCATCAGACCAGAGTAAAAATGCTGACTCCAGGACAGTGGGTCCCCTCATCCCAGGACAGTCTACAGTGCCCATCAGGGGTCACTGCATAGATTAAAGAATACTTGTAGTTTTATTTCATTTTTTACTACAGAAAATAAATACCACCCTTAGCTCCAGGAAGTACTTCATTCTGTTTCAGCGTGAGACTCAACTCCAACCTACCAATTAGCACTCCAATCTGCACTGGGTCAGAGGGCGCTACCTCTGGTAAAGTTCTCGTTATCTGTGGGTGTGGCTCATAGACAATTTTAGGGTTCCAGCTAGGTGACAGCTTTGGCTCAGTTTCCTAAAATAATATATTAAGAATAAAGTATGTTACTGTAAATAAACTGAAATACAAAATACAAATGTCAACTTAAGAAGAATAAAGTATTTGACATGTGAAACTGTATTAAGCTACAATAGATAAAGCGGTATCTTCCAGCTAGTGTGAAACACAGCTGTATGTTAGCACAGTACCTTGGTAATGAAGACAATGGAAAAAGACTTTATGAAAAAAAGCACAGCATCTGTTTAAATTACAGTAATAAGAAAACTAAATAGACATTTTATAATTAAGAAAATCTGCTTTGTGAAACAACATAAAAGACAAATTCTAGAATAACTGATTTTGATACAGAAAAGGATTCTCTACTCTTAGAAAGAATAAAAAGCTCCTTAATATAAACCTTTTTTAAGATAAGATATGTAATATTAATTTTCAGCAATACAATCACTATGTAAAGTAAATGTGAACATTTTTTGATTTCCTGTGTTTACTGTATAAGGACATTATATGTTAATATACCATTTCTCCCCAATGTCTATAAAATTAATACACAGCAAAAAGGCATCAATTATAAATGTGAATGTTTAAAAATCTCTTGAAATATGTCCCACTACTGAATAGTTGTGCTAACGTGCAGATCAGATGGAAACTCATTAACACATTATATGTCCTAGCAACATTTAATAGCTCTCATTTAAACCTTTTAAAAACTCTGTGTTTTAGTTTTGGTTTCTCTATTTTGATTTTCTTACCACTGGTGCAGTTGAACACACTGGAGAAGATTTTGCTGATGCAGAAAACTCGTCCCAGAAGAGAGCTACTCCAGAGAGCTGAAGAAACTTGTGAGCAAAAGCTGTGGGCTGATGCACATTAATTCCTGAGGACTCATCAGCAGTTTCATCACAGTACAGTGATACCTCGGTTCTCGAACGCCTCGGATTTCGACCAAATCGGTATTCGACCAGGAGATTCGAGAAACTTTTGTCTTGGAATCTGAACAAATATTTGGAACTCGAACTTCCGAGATGAGCCGAGTTGAGCCGAATGGCGTTCATTCGGCCCAGCGCGCCTTGCTTGCGTCATCAGTGTGAGTGCAGAGAGAGAGTCACGCTTTGTGGAGAGAGTCACGCTTTGTGGAGAGAGTCACGCTTTTTGGAGAGAGTCACGCTTTACACTGAATTTAACCCTTAGACATACTGTACACTTTTATTTCTTGTTGAGACTTATGTTTTTCTACATATTATATACAAATTAGGCCAGTAAATAGGGATTTTCTGGGGCTTGGAACGAATTAATCCAGTTTCCATTATTTCCTATTGGGTTTCATTGCTTCGGTTCTCGAACAATTTGGTTCTCGACCGTCCTCCTGGAACGAATTATGTTCGAGAACCGAGGTATCACTGTATACAGTTCTGAAAGTTAACAACAAAAAGGGCATTTGTATAAAAATCCTAGGAAAACCTACCTGCAATGGTAAGAAATGCACAAAGCTTTTTAAGTTAAAGGGATTTTTCAAGTGTTAGCACATTAGAATATAACATGAAACATTTTAATGTACACTCTCCTCGTGCTGTGGAGAGATCCAGGCATCTCCTGGAAAGAACAACTAGCACTGGACACACTTATGTGTAGAATCAAAAGTTATCTCCTTTTGTGTTCTGTGTTGGTAATGGTTTCAAAGATTGGGACATTTTGAAACCCAGTTTTAAAGGCGATACTTGGAATAAGAGTGGTTTCTTCTGTAGCACTTTGTTCCGCATAATTCCTACTGAGAACAGTGAACCTACGTATGGACTGGAATGAATCAATGGAAAGATTGATAACTCCTTGTGTTACAAATATGCCATTGAAACTGAACACATCTATAGTGATGTAGTTTAAACATTTGATGTGTACATCCAAGGAGTAAACGCAAGAATTTGAAGACACTGACAATACCATGTGTTTTTCACATTGAACATCTCTGTGAATTAGAACAAGAGGAGTGTTCTAGAGAAAATGCACTTGTACAGTTGACCTGGGTATCGATTTCCATTAGTTACACACTAATTATGCCTGGTATGCGTGGCATAGTTTACATTGGAGAGGCATGCATTGTCGTACGTAAATGCAGCATTCTGCCTTCCTTCGTATATGAGAGGAAGAGTCACTTGGTACACGAAGATGAGGAAACTTTTCAGCATACTCCTCTTCTTCCTTGGATAGGAGTTGTTTGCCTGGAAGAGTGTACAAATCATCGGGATAGCAAATAAAGACTGGGCTGCAGAAATGAAACATTTTGGTTACAGCAATGTTCAGTACATGAAATCTATACTCTATTTAGTTCTACATACATTCTCTAAAGGTCTTACCTAATGAATCAGTGTCATGTCATGGATCCATCATACATTTCACTGTTTGAACCGATATCCACATTTACATAAGTGAAGATAACTGTTTGCTCCTGAGAATTCAAAGTAAAACCTTTTGCTCAGTGTGAAATGATGAAATTATGCCGTGTTAATGAATGATATCTCCTGAACTTATTTTTCAAATACCCTGTGACAAATTCAGCCTATTTCTTGATAACTGACAGAGTAATCAATCCACGTATTCAAGCCATTTTAACAAGGAAACTGATCAATTCCAAACAAAGAGTGTAAGGCTTTTGAATAATGGTCATGGATTCACATGTTCAAGAGTATTTCCAGAAGAACCTATGAAAACACACTGGATAATAAAAGGGGTTCATCACCGGTGTTCTTTCTCAACAGAATAATACAATTGCATTCTGTTCAAGAGCAGCAGGCACACCTTAATATGGTTGTAGTGGCAATTTGACAGTTCAGTGGCTCTCTGTCCTCCAACAGTGTTCCAATAGACTCACTTCTTCAAATAAGGTGTACACATAGTGAAGAAGAATCTAAGGCTCTATCAGTTCACAGGTCATTGAACCACCACTGGTGTTCTGTTCTTCAGATTACATGTTAGTACATTGAGGAAAGTATTGATTCTAGGTGTTGAGGCAAGCTAACATTAGCCTATGCCCTTAGACATACTTTTCATTACAATTAGTTTTTAGGAGCGTGTATACAAACCAAACCGATTCCAAATAAACTGTGTTAGAACGCTTCACTTCAGCTGTGCCAAACTCACTTCCATGAAGCCAAGAGCGTGGGGCTTCTCAAAGCATAAGCTGTTTTGGTTAAATATCTCAGAAATGTTCATTTCTTAAGGTGTAGTCACACTAAAACCTAGGAGTGTATGTTTCTTTCTCTTGTTCCATGCAGAGCGATACAACACTTGCTGGTCCACTCTTAGATATACTGAATTGTGAACCAAACTCTGTGAGAGCCAGGGGCAACATTCCTTCAGTGGCATATTTTACCTTGGGAAATTGAGTACCTTTGCAGGGAAAGTGTGAAGATACATATTCCAGTAAAAATCTGTTGGAGTGATTCAATATATCCATTTTTGTTAAGGAAATACACAGATATAGGCCAAAGTAACATGAAACACTTTAATGTACACTCTCCTCGTGGTGTAGAGAGATCCAGGAATCTCCTGAAAAGAACAACAAGGACTGGACACACTTATGTGTAGAATCAAAAGTTATCTCTTTTTGTGTACTGTGTTGGTAATTGTTTCAAAGATTGGATCGTTTAGAAGCCCAGTTTTAAAGGTGATACTTGGAATAAGAGTGGTTTCTTCTGTAGCACTTTGTTCCACATAATTCCTACTGAGAACAGTGAACCTACATATGGTCTGGATAGAATCAATGGAAAGATTGATAACTACTGGTGTTGCACATATGCCATTGAAACTGAACACATCTACAGTGATGTAGTTGAAACATTTGATGTGTACATCCAAGGAGTAAACGCAAAAATTTGAAGACACTGACAATACCATGGGTTTTTCAGGTTGCATTTCTCTGTGAATTAGAACAAGAGGAGTGTTCTAGAGAAAATGCACTTGTACAGTTCACCTGGGTATCGATTTCCATTACTTACACACTAATTATGCCCGGTATGCCTGGAAGAGTTTACATTGGAGAGTCCTACAGTGTTGTACGTAAATGAAGCATTCTGTCTTCCTTCGTGTACGACAGGAAGAGTCACTTTGTACACGAAGATGAGGAAACTTTTCAGCATACTCCTCTTCTTACTTGGATACTAGTTGTTTGCCTCGAAGAGTGTACCAATCATCTGGATAGCAAATAAAGGCTGTGCTGCAGAAATGAAACATTTTGGTTACAGCAATGTTCAGGACATGGAGATCTATACTCTATTTAGTTCTACATACATTCTCTAAAGTTCTTACCTAATGAATCAGTGTCATGTCATGGGTCCATCATACATTTCACTGTTTGAGCCGATTTCCACATTTACATAAGTGAAGATAACTGTTTGCTCCTGAGAATTCAAAGTAAAACCTTTTGCTCAGTGTGAAATGATGGCATTACACCGTGTTAATGAATGATATCTCTCGAAGTTATCTTTCAAATACCCTGGGACAAATTCAGCCTATTTCTTGATAAGTGACAGAGTAATCAATCCACATATTCAAGCCATTTTAACAAGGAAACTGATCAATTCCAAACAAAGAGTGTAAGGATTTGAATAATGGTCATGGATTCACATGTTCAAGAGTATTTCCAGAAGAACCTATGAAAACACACTGGATAATAAAAGGGGTTCATCACCGGTGTTCTTTCTCTACAGAATAATACAATTACATTCCGTTCAAGAGCAGCATACACACCTTAATATGGTTGTAGTGTCAATTTGACATTTCAGTGGCTCTCTGTCGTCTAAACAGTGTTCCAATAGACTCACTTTTTCAAATAGCGTGTACACGTAGTGAAGAAGATTCTAGGGCTCTATCAGTTCACAGGTCATTGAACCACCACTGGTGTTCTGTTCTTCAGATTATGTGTTAGTACAGTTGAGGAAAGTATTGATCCTAGGTGTTGAGCCAAGCTAACATTAGCCTACGCCATTAGACATAATTTTCACTAGAATTAGTTTCTAGGAGAGTGTACACAAACCAAACTGATTCCAAATAAACTGTGTTAGAACTTTTCACTTCAGCTGCACCAAACTCACTTCAATGAAGCCAAGAATGTGGGGCTTCTCAAAGCATAACCTGTTTTGGTTAAGTATCTAACAAACGTCCATTTGTGAAGGTGTAGCCAAACTAAAACCTAGGAGTCTAAGTTTCTTGCTCTTGTTCCATGCTTAGCTATACATGACTTGCTGGTCAAGTCTTAGATATACTGAATTGTGAACCAAACTCTGTTAGAGCCAGGGGCAACATTCATTCAGTGGCATTTTTTCCTTGGGAAATTGAATACCTTTGCAGGGAAAGTGTGAAGATACATATTCCAGTAAAAAACTGTTGGAGTGATTCAATATACCATTTTGGTTAAGGAAATGCACAGATCTCAGCTAGAGTAAAATGAAACACTTTAAGGTACACTCTCCTTTTGGTGTGGAGAGATGCAGTCATCTCCTGGAAAGAACAACTAAGACTGGACACACTTATGTGTAGAATCAAAAGTTATCTCTTTTGAAGCCCAGTTTTAAAGGCGATACTTGGAATAAGAGTGGTTTCTTCTGTAGCAGTTTGTTCTGCATAATTCCTACTGAGAACAGTGAACCAACATATGGTCTGGAATGAATCAATGGTAAGATTGATAACTACTGGTGCTACACATATGCCATTGAAACTGAAACAATGAAACTGAACACATCTACAGTGTTGTAGTTTAAACATTTGATGTGTACAACCAAGAAGTAAACGCAAGAATTTGAAGACACTGACAATACCATGGGTTTTTTACGTTGCATTTCTCTGTGAATTAGAACAAGAGGAGTGTTCTAGAAAAAATGCACT